TAAGAATTCTCCGGTTTCTTGTCGTTCAGAATGATCCTTCATCGACTGCGCCAAAATTTTAATATGTTATATTCGGTTCGTTCTTTATTTTTGTAAGTAATGAACAAGCACTTAAAACTATCACAAACAAAACTAATATTAATAAACAAGAACTTATTACAGCTAGACTAAAAATCAAATGAACCAACGCCAAGCTGTGTAGCTTGCCTATATTACTTTTGTCTTTCGCCAGTCAACTGTTTCGAATGTTCGAGCAAACACTTGCAAATAAAATAAAAGAAGGAGTCTTTAGAAGCGAAGCTTCTAAAGAAGAACAATTTGAGTTCGTCGCCAGTCTTTTGTTTATAAAAAGTTGAAAATGTGAATATTTAGTACGGGATCATAACAATATATATATATAGTATAAATATATTAAAGTATATTTTGACATTGAATCATATAAAATAATAAAATATTCAATTTTTTTTTTTTTTTTTAAGAATCATTTTATACTTTACTTTTATATTTCGTGCATTTATCTTCTTTATATTCTTTATCTATCTTATTTCCAACCCCTGTCCCTCCCTCCCTCTCTACTTCCTTTTTCATTTTTTTTCCTCCCCCTCCTCTTTCCTTTTTTTCCTTTTTTTTTATTCCATTCAAAAAAAAATAAATAAAATAAAATAAAATAAATTTTATTTAAATTTTTTCCAAATTTTTTTTCATTTTTATATTTTTTTCGCTCTTCAAAATTCACTCGAAACTAATTTAATTTATTATCATTATCATCATCATCATTATTATTATTATTATTATTATTAATATTCGGGAGAAAATTTTTTGTTTATTTTATTTTTTTATTAAACAAAATTTAATTTATAATAATTAATATTTTTTTTTGTTTTTATTAACTGAGATAAAATCATTTATTTTATTTTATTTAATATAACATATTTTTACTTAATAAATTTTTATGTATAAGAGAAAAATAATAAATAATATTTATTTATTACTTAATAATTTATTACTCATAATAATAATAATAATAATAATTTATTACTCGGTAACGAATAATATATATATATATATAAATTTATTTAATTAATTTTTAATAGATTCCAAATTTCTTTTCTTTTTCTTTTCTTTTACGTGTACGCAATATAAAAACGATTTGAGTTAATTTAACTTAATAATAATTATAATAATAATAAATTATTTTTTATTAATTTTTTTTTTATAAACTTTAAAATAATGACACGTCAAAAAAAAAAATACACCCTCTCGTACGAATAGGTAGGTAAATTATTTGTATTTCACCTACTGAACTTTATTTTTACATTTTTTTTTTTTTTTTTTATCGATCGACCACGAATTCGATACCTTATTATTATTATTATTATTATTATTATTATTTATAATATTTCCTTTCGGTAGGAAATTTTTTCCCCATTTTTTGTCGTTTGACCTTAAAAATAAAATTTTTTTTTTTTAATTATAACCTACGACCACGACGACATTTAAAAAAAAAAAAAAAAATTTTTTTTTTCACGTCGTAACATTTTAATATTTTTCGCCATTTTTTTTTCTTTTTTTTCTTTTTACTTAAATAATAAATATTCATTTTTTTATTTTTTTTAAGTTCAATTTAAGTTAAATTAAAAAAAATTTCTTTTCTTTTTATTTTTATAAAACTTTTAATTTCCGGTTTTTGTTTTCTTTTTCTTTAATCGTAAATAAGAAAAGTTAAGAAAAAAATAAAAAATGAGTAGAAAAAATTTTTTATTTGAAACAATGAACTTTTATTTTTATTATTATTATTATTATCATCGTTCTTTTACAACCCCCCCTCCCCCCGATATTCGTCGCGAATGAAAATGAAAAAAAAATTTTCATAACGTGTCATTAGCAGTAATGTCAAGTACTTTTAGATACCTTGAATTTATTCCATTCTCTTACAAAAAAAAAAATTTTTTTCATTACGATGACACTTGAAATCGATACAAATCATTATTATTATTATTATTATCATTATTATTAATTTTGTCGCCGTATTTAATAAAAAATAAACGTTTTTCTTATCATTTTTATCAAAGTAACAATTTATATTAACGGTTTTTCTCAATTTCAAAAACAACAACAAAGAAAAAAAGAAAACAAACAAAAATTACCTGGCATTTCTACTTATTTAAATATTATCGTCTTCTGCTTTTGATCGTTAGCAAAGATGTTCCCTCTCTCTCTCTCTCTCTCTCATTAATAAATGCAAACTAATTTGCAAATTTTAACCCCCAATGCTGAATCATAATAACTAAAAAAAAAAAAATTTTAATTACTTATTTTTAAAAAAATTAATAAATCAATCATTCATTCATTCATTCATTCGTTTTAAAAATAAATTATAATTATACTCAAGTGTTGATAGATTGATCATAACACGCCCAATTGTAAAAAAAATATGCGGAAATTTATTATTATTATTATTATTACTCTAAACATCCTTTTTGTTTTTTTTTTTTTTTTTATGGCATAACGAACCATCTTAACAATCCGACATATTTTTTAACCTTTCTTTCTTTCTTTCTTGTTTTTAAACAATAGTAATTTTTTTAAATTAAAAAATTAATAAACGATCGATTACACCTTGCCCTTGCAACATGAAGTTTCTTCTCCAGGAACAAACAAAAAAAATTTATTCCTTGTTGTTTGTTTGTTAAATGACAAAACACGTTTCAATGTCGTACGGGGGCATCCATTTTTTTTTGACGACTATTCATTCATTCATTCATTAATTTTTTTTCCTCTTGTAATTAGAAATAAAAAAAAACCTTTTGAAGGTTTTTTTATTTGTCTATAATAATTTACGGGCGTAGTAGGAACCTTTCATTAAAAACAATCATGATTGAACATTTAACAAGATTATACGGATTTGTAAGGTATTTAGTAGTTTATCGCCGATAAAAACTACTTGTTTGTTTGTTTGTATGTTTGTTCCTTTAAATGGTCACATTTTGTTTTTTTCTCTCTGCTGCTCCCACGTTGATTTTCGTTTCTCCTCCTTTTATATTATTTCAATTGTTTTGTTTGTTTTGTTTTTTCAAATTTAATTTTAATCTTGGAAATATTTTTTTTTTTTTTTAATTTTACAGTACGCAATAATAATAATAATAATAATATAAAACTAATTTTTATTATTATTAAAATGAAAACAACCTGACGTTTTTACCTTTTTAATGGTGGTCTCTGTTAGAAAATTAATTATTTTAAACCCCAAAAACTTTTCAAAACTCTCTCTCTCTCTTATAAACTTTTATAGGTTTTCTTTAATTTAAAAAAAAAAAAAAAAAAGTTTTCTTTAAAAATTTTAACACTCGATTAAATAATATAAAATTTGCTTTAATCGACGAACTCGTGGGGGGGGGAAAGGGGAGAGGGGGAAGGGGGGCTAGAAGATTTTCAAATGAAAAGTAAAAAAAAAAAAAATATTATTGTTACTCATTAACGGTTTTTGTGTAAACGTAAATTTTTTTTTGGTTTGTTTCTTTTAAATCCCCTTTTCCCTGTCCCCCCACCGCACCCCCCTTCGAAAACAAAACGTTTTAAGCATTTATTGATATTAATTATATATATATTTTATATCACAAATAATGTAACAACAATACATAATAATACTTTTTTTCGTGGTAGAAAAACTAAAATCAGTGAAGTTTTTTTTAAAGCGTTTATTATTTAATTTTTTTTTTTTTTGGTTTTATATAAAAGATAATAATAATAAAAATAAAAAAACTTTATTCAAGGCTTATAATTTTAAAATTCAACCTTTTTAAAAAAAAAAAAATTTATATATATATATAATTTATAAAAAAAAAAAAAAGGAAAAAAAAAGAGGATTTTTATTGCTGGTTCTAATGTTTTGCAAAAGACAGATAAAAATTATTTGTTTTTAAATTTAAGCGTTTTTAGCTTTTAAAAATTTTCACAGAAAAAAAAAAAAATTTTTTTTTTTTTTTTTTTATAGCTTCTTTAGTAGATAGTATTTCATACCAAAAAAAAATTAAATTATTTTTGTCAATTTATATTAGAATTTTTTAAAAGTTTTATTTCCATTTAACCACCATTTTGTTTTGTCCCCCAATTTAAATTTAACAAAAAAAAAAAAAATATAAAATAAAATTTTCATTGTTTAAACAACAAACGATTATGAAAAATAAAAAACAATTTTTTTTTTCAACGTTTATCGGTCGTTCGATAACAACCCCCATCACTTTTTTTTTTTTTTTTTTATATAAACATTTTAATTTTAAAAAAAAACAACAACAACAACAAAATTTTTTTTCTTTTTTTTTCCTTCCATTAAAAAAATTAAAAATAAAAAAAAAAAATTTTTTTTTTCTTTCTTTCTTTCTTTCTTTTAAACAAAATACAAGATTTTTTTTTTAATTTCCTTTTTTTCTCTCTCTCTCTCTCTCTTTTTTTTTGTTTAAAATTAATTAATAAAATATAATTTTCTATATTGAAAAAAAAAAAATTTTTTCATTATATATACATCTCTCTCTTTTTGTTATCATAACAACAAAACAAAAAAAATTTTTCTTTTCTTTTCTTTTCTTTTTAAACAAATAAAATTAAATTTTTTAATATTGATTTATTAATAAAAAAAAAAATTTAACAATTATTTAAATAATATTATTATTAATATATATCTTAATAAAAAATAAAAAAAATTTTTTTTTTCTTCTTTTTCTACATTATAAAATAATTTATAATGAAATCATAATCAAGTCTCTTTTTTATATTTGGCTTTGTTATATAATTAATTATATATATATATATATATAAATTTTTGCATAATTAATAAATTTACAACAAAATAATATTTGTTCAATACATTTACAATAATCACGTTTGTTTCCTTTTTTTTTTTTTTTTTAAAAAAATAAAATTTATTTTCTTAAATAATAATAATAAGTTTATTAAGTAAGGCACGTGGTCAAATATTTGTAAATAAGTTTCTCTTTGGCTTTGTTTTGTCGAATTGAATTTTGGGTTCAATTAATACAACATGTTATAAAATTTATAAAAATAGTCATGATGTTTCAAAAAATATATTTATAAAATATATTTATATGAGAAAATAATTTTACTGAAGTGAATCGTTAAAATCAGAAGGAGCCAAACCGTAAAGTATGCCATTAAATTTTGTTTTGTCAATATTACCTTCGAAAAATAAATCTCTCATTTTAAAAAATAATGTACCTGTCAACAAGCTATCTGATCCTGCTTGATGCTGCTGTCCCACTCTGGGTATTGATAATTGTTCAGCAACATCTTGCAGGCCTCCTCCTAAAAATTGACAGTTTCGAATTAAATACTTGATGTCATATATTGTGGGAAAAAAAAGTTTTAACAAATCGAAAAATTCATTTATGTCAATGGGTAACTCATCGTTTGTAAGTACTTTCAATAGGTAACCGAAATCATAGCCGCTATGAAAACTTATCCATTTAATATTGTCCATTAAAACTAAACCTGATGTCATTAATAATTCGGCAAAATGAAGAGGATTAATACCATCTGTGTAATGTTTTTGAAATTGAATTCCACTATTTTGTAAAAGCATTATCGATTCTTGTGCATACATATCTTTGTTTATTTCAAATTTAAAATTAAACTGCCATGTAGAATTACAATCAACAGGTGTGTTACCCTTTTCATCGAAAAATGTTATACCTAATTGTATGATTCTAAGAAGGTCAACATTGCATTTTAACATTCTATACTGGAAATCATTCGAATCTCTGAATTCACCAACAGGTCTAGCGACAACTCCTGGAAACTCTGTATCCATTGCAACCCAATTGTATTTTTGAACTACATGTCTAATTACTTTAAATTCTTCTTCTAAATTATCAGCCCAAACATCTTTGATTTGAAATGCTTTATCATGAGAAGATAAACAAGTTGATGGCTCAGACTCCAAACTACTATTTCCATTGTCTGTTGACATGATCCCATTAACATTGACTTGATAATTTAATAAAATTATGTTAAATATAAAATATGATTTGTAATTAATAATTATTTATTGAAAATACACATACATATCTAAACATTATAAATAAATTCACTCACTTGCTTGATAAAATCAAATAGAATGATGTGATACAACATATAATAATTTATAAATAACGGTTTAATTTCAAATCACCACGCTCTTGATTATTTTATTTTTTATTTTTTTTTTAAATTAACAATTTTTTAAACTATTTTGACAAGCGGTAAATTATATTTATATAAAAACATAAATCGAAATAAATTCCCCGTATAATTATTTTTTAAAATCAAGTGAT